CTTTCTTCTTTTTATTTTACTTTTATTGTGGTGAAAACATACACAACAACACATTCACCAACATAACTTCCCCATTTATAGCTCAGGGACATTGATGACATTTTTCATGTTGTGTCACCATTATTACTATCCTTTTCCAAAATATTTCATCACCATTATCATAAACTCAATGCCCCGCAAACAAAAGCTTCCACTCTCCCCACTTCTGCCCATCCTTCTCTTTCTCCCACATCCTGGTCTTCACCAATTCCCTGAACCACTGTCCAGTCTTATTCACAGCCTTGAACCAAATAACACCCTGTCCTGCCATCTTTCTTGGATCGGTGCAGGACAGGGTCACCAGGACGCAGCACCCATTCTCTCTCACAGCCTCTGGGTTCCTGAAAAGGAATTTCCATTGCAAACCCAGATTTTTCTTCCCCCTCCTCAGCTCAACCCTTTGCCATGCCTCCTTCCATGCTGTGTGCCTCCATGGGCAAACTCATATTAGTCTGTCCTGTCAGCCCAGGTCACTAACCAGCAGAGCTCCCAGGGGCAGCCAGAATCCCATGGAAGTAGAACTCACGGGGGTCCTGTTAGGAGGAGAACCATCTTCTTTCATTGTCCGAAGCCTACAATCCACTGAAGTTCAGTGGACAAGAGCTGGGGCAGGACACTCCCCCAGTGAGGAAGCACAAGGAATGTGGCTCAGAGCATGAGTTTTTCATCTGCTTGGGGTTTCTCAGAGACATGAGGCCATCACAAAACTCTGATCCCAGGGGCACTGCTCCCTATTTCCTTTTGGCCAAAGAATGGACAATCAGGTCTCTTTCCTTGTTCCTAAGGAGGGCACATAACAACAACAACAACAAGGCCCAACTGAGTTAGGATGACCCGTAAAAAAAAAAACAAAAAAACAGAAAGAACTTAACCAGAAGGAAAATAAAAAGGAAATCATAGAAAGTACAAACCGCATAAGAGTTTTCATGTCCAAAGTACAGGCATTGGATTCTAAGAATTGTGGTAAATCCAGCAGAAAACTCACTGAGTTCCACATTCCTTGATCCTAAGAAAAATCCAGGCATAATGTTGCTGGCATTACCCAGTGCACCCCCTGGCTTATCCATTTCCTCCAGCGCTGCCACCTCTGGCCATGTGAGCTCTTGGCCAATGTGGGTGACTTTGTCATCTCAGCCCATAGCTGACTTTTCACAAATAAACTCCAACTCTCACAGAAGTGTTGGTTTGTTTTCTGGGTTTACCCCTAGACCCACTAAGGTCTCTCCTCTAATCATTTCCCCCTCCCTCCCACCTGAGAGGAAAAGGCTCACTGTCTTGTTCTTGGACAGTGAAACATCATTCATTGCCTATGAATGAAGTTTGAGACTTTAAACTTCACTTACATAAGGAGACCCTTACCCCCAGTGCACATACCAACAGGTGAATGAAGGGCTTCTGAAAATACACATTATGTGTAACAATTCCTTCTTCACATTAACCTTGACATACACTCAGCTTTAGCTGGGTGCGGGAGAAGAGAAGTGGCAGCACACAGTGAGGACACATTCTCTCCTATTAACAGGAGCAATCCACTTGAAAAGCAATAGGTAAATGATAAAATAGTAATATCATTTAAAAAAAAAAAAAAACCTACCAACTGGTTTGAAGTCAACACGTGCAATCACAGGGAATAAAGTTTCCGTTGAGTTTCTAGAGGCCTTTTGTCCCCAGTGCGTGTCGGGAAACAACAAGAACGACTCCTACTGGGGTCACGATTGCAGGGTCACAACTAGGGACTATACATACTATGGCGCGAGTTCTAGGAGCTCACAATTGTTGTTGTTGTTGTTATGTGCCGTGCAGTCTTATCCGATATAGTGACCCTTCCTTGGGTTTCTGAGGCAGTATCACTACCAAAGTAGATCGCCCAGCCTTCCTTCCGAGGAGTGGCTGGTGGGTTTGAATCGCCTGCTTTCTGGTTAGCAATCAAGTGCCTTAGGCACTACGCTACCAGAGCTCCTACAAAGCAAGTTAGGAAATAAAAAAATCGAAGTATGCATTAAGGTCCGCAGGCGCATTTGCCTTCTAAGAACTTTGACTCATTCGGGCTACCGTCGTTGCCCCGGGATACCAGAAGACGCCGTAATCTGAGCGTCCCGTTCCTATGGAAACTCCGATACGGCGGCTGTGTGAGTTGGTGCCAGGGGAGCTGCGCGAGTAGCCAAGGAAGGTATCTGTCCCAAGAGACTGTTGTGGCCAGGGGTCCCCTCCCTGTCCCTCAGGGAGCCCCGGAGGGCTGAGATAGGAGCAGGGGGAAGATCTGACGGGATACCAAAGAGAGTATCTTTCATGTCGCCCTTCATATTTGCAGTCACAGGGAGTGAGGTTTCCGTTGAGTTCCCAGAGGCCTTTGGTCACCAGTGCGCGTCGGGAAAGAACAAGAACGACTCCTACTGGGGTCACGCTTCCAATTTTCCCACTAGTCATCTCGGGAATTTTTCAGGCTGGAAATTAAGCAAATAAAATAAGCTAATGATAT